CAGTGAAAATGAAGCATACAAGGTTGGGACAACTGGACTCTTATGCCAAGGCGGAATTGAAAATGTTTAACACTGTTCAACTTTCTATTAATTTATGGTTTCCTCTCATTTATCTTTTCCGACGAGGGAAAGGTTGCGACAGGAGTAGAATTGAATGGCACCATCAAATTTCACAAGCCTGCATTCAAGTGCGAACGGTCTTACCCTGTTTAATGGAAACAGTATCGGACAGACAAACGCGACCTAATTACTGCGTTATTATTGATCACTTAGCCGAGATATATGAGTGGGATTCACGATTTGGGGGGTCCACAGGGCTAAGTAGCCGGGCTCGTTAGCGGAACATTATGAGGTTAATCAGGTGGTCCACTCGCTCACGCAGTCCCAGACTCCTTGTCTGCATGGTGGCATGGAGGAACTTAGACAACTGCTCGACCGCCGCAAGTGACGACGTGTACCACTGCCGCACGAGGTGTGACCAGCAGTGTAAATTTGTTTGTACTGAGGTAGACATGCACTACATCTACCTCACTCTCTCCTCCCTCATACACTGTACTTTAAAGGCAAGACAACTGGAGGTGGGCGCGAACGCAATGGCTGACAAGGCTAATCAGCCCTCTATGGGTCCCACACGCAACCTAGCCCCTGTTCCAGACTGCACCAGATGACAGGTTTCCTGCTCAAGTGAGATGTGTACTTTCTTCAAATTCGATGCTTCATTCGTCACATCGGTGGGGGAAGACTGGATCGAATGTACGCTGCAGGAATGATACGTGACATAATGCTGAATGGTGTCATGTAAGCAGGCGCTGTGGAGTGGGTTCATGTAATTTGAGGTAAGACGTTGTTGGAGTTTGCTGACCATCCAAGTCTATAGCCCTCGTAGCACAACTCTTTTTTCCGGAAAAAAACTAACAATTTCCAAGTATGTGGAGGTTTTTCCTGAAGCACCTCGTAAAATTAAGAGAAGACGAACAACAAGAAGAAGAAGACTATTTTCCATCAGCCGTTAACATTGCACTTTAGTCTGCGCATGAATAGATGGCCGGAAATACCGCCATTGAGACAAAGGGGAAAATGCAGTCACACATGCACACGTTAGTGAGTAGCGGCGGTGATGATGGTGATGATGCTGAGAGGAAAAGCTGTTCAAATCTGCTCTGACTTGCAGGTCAAGCGTCAGTGAGAGGTGCGGCGGTGGCGTGGTGGATAGGTGGGCGCTCTTTGGGCGGTCGTCGTACCTGTAGTGTGCTGACTACCGCCCTGAGAGCGAAGATGCTCGGACGCAGCCTCCTTCCGACCCCAACCCAGGCCACACACACAGACGCTCGACAGCGCGACGCCGCCCCCCGGCGGGCAGGCGCAACCTGTAGCGGAATCTGGGACGGATAAGCGGGTGGTCTTCAGTGCTTTCTCCCGTCCATCCACCCATCCACCCACTCAAACACACACACGCAGGCTTCGCCAAAATAGCGTCAAAAGTTGCTGTTGAGATGAGACAGGAAGGAAGGAAGAAAGGAGGTAGTGCCAATGCCATATCCTACGACTCCTTCAGCGCTGATATTGAGATACGAAAAGATCACCTGGGTGGAAGTTGAAAACCTACAAAATTAAATCCTAATTTTTAAATGTCTACTGGTCTCTGTGGCCATGGTGTCTTCCCATTGAATATTTTTCGAGTCAAGCACGGCACCTTCACAAATGGAAAAAATGACTATCTGGACAGAATGCACTTCTTAATTGTTATGACGCACGCCTAGAGTTATCCATGTCTGTGATGGGAGCGTTACGTATGAGAATTTCTTCAGATGAGATACATGTGAGTGACCAAGTGTTCATCAAATTTGGACTCTGGAAAAAATCGGTTTCTAGAGAAATCCCTGATGTTGTTTTGGTACAGAATATGCTGTCACCCTGAGTCTTCTACTTGAGTTTAGAGCCGCCGGAGTCAATCGTATATAGTCCAGTAACAATGAGAAATAATCGACAAATATAAGAGATACTTAGATGGATACTTTTACCTTATTAGGCGTCATCAGGCTTAAATAACCTAAGACTCGAAAGCAAACTCTTTGGCCATTGAACTTGAAGTCAAGTAATCTGTCACTAGATCACGGACTGTTGTTCAGTCGGCTACGATAGGGAATGTGGATTAACTTAGATGTGTTAACATATTTGTTAGTTTACGGAGTAAATTCTTCGTGTGTGCTGAGGAAACAAATCCTTAGCAGGTAAACAGCACTAATTCAAAAAAGTAAATTTGACAGCGACAGGGTAAGCTAGAGTTGACGACACGTGCTAAACGGTGAATGACAGACTGCACTTAGGAGGAGGGAGACCCAATCTTTCGTAGAAGAATTTTTATGTATGATAATTTCGAATTTCCCCTCGAAGCCAAAGCATGCAGGAGGAGGTGATACAGAGGAACATCAGGATTTGTAGGATTCGGTTATCACACAATCACACACACCTATCAAAATTAACGTCTCTCACATTCATGACAGACGTTGTTACTTGGCGCGTCAGTGGCTTGATCGCCGGCGTGTGAGTAAGTGGTGTCCGAGATTTGGGAAGGTAAAGGCTGCACAGTTTGACTTAACGATGTCGCCACTGGGACCATTGTTCAGGCTCGTGCTCCCTGTGTGAGTAATCCCTTGTCCAGGTGAAATCATAACTCCGACTGTGGAGGTGGGAGGTCATTGCATTTTCTAATAGACTGTGCCGAAGAGAACCACGACCTAACCAGTTCGCGACTCAAGCGGTTGTCACCTCTCGTGAGGATTTCGGCCTCGTCAAAAATGAAGGTCTGACCGAGTCCCGTCAGGTGGACCACGACTTGCGTGGTGATTTCAACCCTCGTACTGTTTATTCGAGTTCAGCCATCTGCGTTTGGAGTAAGCATTCCCACTTTCCGACATCGTCGTTCGATCCTCAACGGGAGCAGATCCGATAAGCGGCTCCAGCCGTTTCTTGTCATGACAGACTCTCTCTAGGACAGGCCGCTTGACGCCCGATGGTCATACCCGGTTTGTGTAAAGCTCGAACAGACGGCCTCCGATGTGTTCATGACGTATGAGGACACCCTGTGGAAGCCGACCCTGATGAGGTTTGGCCAACCTTCACGTTTTTGAGTGCAATCGCTGCTGAATTTGTGCAAGTGGCTGTTCGCACTTTGCACTTGTTTAAGGTATTAGGATGGCCATTTCTGGCGTATCAGCCACCGTCAACCAGGCTGTGAGGTCTGTAAAGCAGAGCTCCAGGACACAGCGAGACTAACGTTTCCCGTACTGCAGCCGGATCGATAAACAACCCGTCTACATTGGTTTGAAAACACTGCCACGCTTCTATATCGGAATTTATCAGAACTCATAAATAATGGAACTGGAATAAAAAACGGCCGGATTAAGCAATTTGAATGTGTAAGACTATAAATGCAGCCAGGACATCTCAAAAGATGTAATGCGCCACTTTGTTTAAAACCCAAACATTCTTTACTCCTATTTACTTATTGTCAAAAAGACAGGACCTACTACAAGATGTGTATAAATCAGCTATGCACGTTTTGCCATTACTTTCTTTAAAAAATCCAGCTTTCCTACAGACACCGGGAATAATAGGAAATAAATTTTATTTCAGCGATATTTGTAGGGTCTCGAGATCGTCCTAGGGGGCATGAACCAATAATTCGCGGAAACATTAAGACTGAGTGAATTGACAAATCTATAAGCTACCTCCTGGTTAGGAATGTGAATTAAAGTACTTTTGACAATTCACCAAATGTTTTATCATGTCACTAACTAGGATAAATCCCCAATATTGGAAAAGTATGCAAATTTTCGCTTTGGATTCACATTTAAATAATTTTTAAAAGGATAACTTAAATGGGACCATTTTTCTTGGAAGAAAACCACATTAACCCTTGGCCCTGGGTGTGGGAACTCACTAACTTCAACAGACAGACTGCGCTCAAGTCTTCGTCTGCAAGAAATCGGTCCCCGAGAACACCTTTCATCTTAGGACATTTCCACTTCTGTCTTATTCTGGTAGTTTCGATTAAGATTCAATACGGAAGCGTATTCCCTGATGAAAGACATTGGAAACCAAGAGGAGCATACTTCGCACAAACTGTTCTTATGCTTATTGAGAGCTAGCGACCTCCACCACCGTTGAAAGACAAAAAGTAATTTTGCGGAAAAATGCATCTGCTCGCAGACAGTCAGGGATTGATTCACACTTACCGCTGATTTTAATACCTCATTTTTTCCTATGGTGACCAATCTTTACACTCGGCCTTACCGTAATTGCTAATTCGACGACTGGACCGCAGCGCAAGTATCCCGAAAACGGTTTGGCCAGCATAAAGCAGACCTGTAAAAGGCAGGAAAGAACTTTTCACCGGTGAGAATACTTAATGTAAGTTCAAAAACATAGCTCAACACTTTATTTCGTAAATCTGCGGACGTGCGGCTTAGTTTCCCCTCGAACTACAGCAAACCGGGAGCCGTAAAAGTGTTTAGTTTAACTCAGTTATTCAAATTGTCCATTACTTATTCATTTTTAGTGTTCCCATGCGTCCTGCAATGCTTGACTTGCAGTTTACTTATTCGTCCGCAAAGAAATGCTATTTAGGAATCTTCAGTTCTTCTATAAAGACTGTGATTTTCGCACAACGTAAATCGTTGGTTGTTTACTTTTAAGCTTTGAACAATGCCTTTAGAACTACATGTGAGTCACCAAAAAATCCGCTAGAGTCTGCAATGATTCACGAATTTCGCTGCATGCTGCATCGTGTTAGTGCGCATTCTCCGCAAAACCCACGCAAGTTTCGGACAGTAGGGCTCGAAGACGGGAAGAAATTAATTTTCAAGCCCCAATAACGACCACGACAGGATGATTATTTTTAAAGATGTAGCAGCGTTATGAGGATTTCGTCTTTTTGTTAATAACTAACGTTATCAATAGTGACAATTTCTTTTGTGGTCATGGTAGTAGTATTCAAATTAGTAGTCGTGGCGGTATTCGCCGTAGTAGAAGTAGTAGTAGTAGTAGTAGTCGTAGTAGTAGTAGTAGTAGTAGTAGTAGTAGTAGTCTTGTTCGGTTTCCGAGGAAATTAATGCGTGAACTTGGAGTAAATCCTTCGGAACAGACCTTTTCAGGCATGGTTCGAATTCTGATATGAAGTAGTAGTAGTAGTAGTAGTAGTAGTAGTAGTAGTAGTAGTAGTAGTAGTAGTAGTAGTAGTAGTAGTAGTAGTAGTAGTAGTAGTAGTAGTAGTAGTAGTAGTAGTAGTACTAGCCAACGCGTGTCGCACTTTCCCATAGCTAGCACTGTATTGTATAAGAATATTTAAAGGGTGACTTTTAGTTATTCATGTGTTTGCAGTATTTCTGATGAGAAATCTCTAGCACCTTGAACAGATTTTCATCATCACATCTGCTCTGAGCCAGTGCTTCAGAAAACGCACAGAAGTGAACTAGCTTTCATCCCGCCTGCTGTGCCGAAAATTAAGATGCTTTGTCCGGAAAAACAACGTCACCGCCGGACCTTAATACGTTAGATAGAACAAATTTAATTAATCAGTGTGAGGTTACGTGTCCACACTATAATTTTGGTGTCCAAAAATTACCAGGACGTTGACAGGATCACACATTCAAAGCAGTGGGGACGCATGAAAAAGATTTCAAGTTTAATTTTGATCACTTATTCTTTGTTCACAGCGTATATGGAACGAGGCTGTATGTGGCGTGGACTGGATATATGTACCTCGCCATGGTGACTCCGAATTCTCGTTCACCCTTCACCCTTCCCTCCTCCCCTTTGCCCTCGTTACCGTACTCAGTTGCGTGTGCGGGTGGTATGGATACTTACGGGTCCGGAAATGGGGTCGTGACCAAATGACAATCCCAACCTTTAAAGTTTAGCGGGTAAGAGGGTGGGGGGAGGGCGAGAGAAAGACACCGACCCTGCCAAGAGCACACTGCGTGAGTCGGTTCAGCCAAACAGAACGCATACACGCAACAAATCTACTTATGACACTAACACCCACGACCGCTAGCAGGGCGGGCAGAGGTTTGCTATTGTGCTCCCTTGTGCGCACGCCCCTTCCCTCCCTCTTCTGCGCCCCTCCCCCCCTCAACTCACTGCTCTCTCATGAAAATATGCTGGCTGGTAGAGGTGGGAAGGGGCAGTAAGTCGGTCGTTTGTTTGGCAGACGAAAGTTAATTCTCTACGCACAGTGATGTTTCCATCACTGGCGCAAACATAAACGGAGGTACAGACACTCGCACGAAGTAAATAAATCAACACTGTCTGTATGCAAGCAACAACCAGCATATCCTGAGTTTGAACCTCAGGTGAAACGGGTGCCAGCAGAAGACCCTTTCAAGGACATATTCAGGTGGGGTAGAAACGCTCGCTTGCTCCACCAAACGTTAAAGCGGGTTTTCCATTCTGCCAACCTCCCTGCCTTTGAGTTGACTGTGAAGAGGTTGACTGAGCTTGTAGAGCTTATTTTCTCACATTTGCCTTTTCAACCTATATAGCCGCCTGCCATGTTTATCGGCTTGACTGTCAACAAGATTTTCAGCCAGTGTAGATTTGATGAATGAGCGCTAAGAGGCATTAATGCTTCTAGAGTTTCATTTCCCTGAACGATTTATTAAGACTTCCTCACCTGGCTCGTATGGATCTGCACCTCATGCTTAAATCTCCCATACGTCCCATCCTCAAGAAACTCTAGCGGGCGAGCTCAAGCTGTTCAACTACGGAACTGTCGAAACTATGTCTTGGCAACAGTTTACTCTGACAGTGCCTGGGCCCACATGCGAATGGCGTGCAGAGGTCAGTCCCGATTTCAAAGCTGGAATATGCTTGTTAGTCGTCATAAGCCAGCAATCGCTAAAACTCACTCGCTTTCTGTCTTAGTTGGTAAAGCATCTTGGAGATTACCCACTAGTCGTCATGCGGCGGTCTGCGTGGATTGTGGACCCGCCGCTCCAATGCAAAAATGAAATGCTCACTTTCTCTCTGGAACCTTAGTAGGTCAGTGCACTCCACCCTCATGTGACTGATTACCTCCGATCTCAGACGACATGACTTGCAGTCGTGAGTACAGTGGTAAGAGCGTTGTTTCATGATCAACTGACTACTCGGGATTCGAATCTCACAGTCCAGGCTTGGGCCATCCGTGACCAAATAAGCCGTAAATGCCCATTTCCGTCCCGTCGGTGATAAGATAAATCGATCAAGGCTCGCCTTAAAACACAGGCGGGGTGTGGGAATGTGGGGGAGGGGGGGGGATAATAGAAGTCAGTGTCAGTTGCGGGGTGAGAGCGCAAGGGCGCGTGAGAGTTGTGGCGTTAGTCGACCTTCGACCACTGTAGGCGCGGAGCCTGAACGTGGTTCTTCTGTGCGCACAAGATTGGTTTTCGCAACCTGATGGCGGCCGCCCCTGCTGTTGCTAACAGGCGCTAACCCAGGGGTTTAGGATAGTTCGATGGGACCTTATAGATCACACGAAACGTTTCATTGGGGTCTACATGATGTCCGGAGTCGACCACATGCGCGAGAACGGCGCTGCTTATGCTTCTAGTTTCGCCTTTTCCCAGCCATTGCGAGAGGTTTTCCGTATTCTCTTGGATAAGCACTGACTCGTGCGTTTAATAATAACAGTAAATGAATTTTGTGTCCCTTTGCAGGCACTGTCAAAAAGGTATTCCATTGTCGTATTTTTACTCCGAGGACTACGTTAAAGCATCTTGACCACCCTCACGCAGCAGTCACCGCTAGGTATTATTATTTCTTTCTCTGGCACATACAAATAAATATCGCCAGCTATTTTCTTATAGCACAGTTGTCCCCAGAGTAAGCAACCCCGACCATGAACCATACCCTTGCCTCTGTACTGTCAAGTACAGTATATCATGCAACCGATGTATGCACTACTAGCTGGCTGCCGGTTGTTTATGAGTAGTATACGATTATCCCGCTGAAGCTGATAGGTTTCGCTTCACATTTTCATACCACCTTTCAGACCGAACCCATAAAATTTCACTCCAAATGGCCTGCTCCAAGTTAACAGTTGGGTTCTGAGGAAACTAAAAAGCCGATATTTTATTTCGATAGTCATGAAACTTCCTCATAAAACCAGAAACTCCGAAAGTACCTCTCAATACTGAAAGACCGTAAGCTTCATCCAGGATTAACTTGTGTGAATCAATGCTGCTGTTCCTGACTACGTCAGCACACCCTCAAGGGCGACGAATTCGAATGCGGACCGCTGTGCTTGGCGGTCGGTATTCTCCCTCTGCATATAATACTAGTTGCTGTGTGAATGCTTGCGAGAGCTCTACATTGAGCCCCAATGCACAGCGGGACGGGTAGGTCCTGGAACTTGATCGGTGTACACATTTCCGACACAGTCATGGAATATGCCCTTTTGATTGACACTGAAAATTGTGGCTCCTTTATTTCCGCAGAAATTAATCGCCAACTTTGCGTAAATCAGTTTAGTTGAGACTTGTAGGCTCAGACTGAAATCAGATATAAATATTTGAGTCGAAGTTCATCAACCACAGCAGAATAACCGCGCTGTATTCTTTAAATGCCAACAGGCAACCAGTAGTGCATATGCATAGGTTGCACGATATACCATGCAGCGGCAGAATATGGGTAAAGTACGTGTCTGGACTTTAAGCCAGTACATGTTCTGTTAAGTATGGTATATCCTACAACTTATATAATTCTGACGAGAGTGCACAGAGAGATGTGCTGATCCCTCACACAATTAGGACGCGTTCAAATTTCTAATTGTGGTAGTTGTTCATACAACAGACGAATAATCCTCCTGGCAAACGTCTGGTTTGCCAGGATTACTTTGGTGTGATTGCAAGAGTGTTTAGCTTGCGACGCGGTCCCATGCTCTTTCAGACAAACTACGATGATGGTTTCTGATTGCAATTATTTCCTGCCGCCTAAAAAACCGCAATCGGTAAAAAAATTGCCAATTAGGTAGCAGGATTGTCGATACTCTTGTAAATGCAACTATATTTCGTAGAGAAAGTGCACAAAAGTATCCTTTCCTACATTTATTTAGTACCAGATTCTGTCTTCTTCGAAGTTTGTAGTCGAAGAAAGGTATACTTTTGGTTTTAAAAAGGTTTTCTAATTCCCGAGTAATTATAAGCTCGATCTTCCGTTACGCTTTTGTTCAGGATTTTCAGTCTACAAGCTGTATACTTTCCGTGTAGAGAAAAACGTATATTTCTTTAAGGCATTAAGAAAAAATTATATGTATTTCGCAAAATATTGCAACGGACGTGGGTTATGCTGTATACTTAATGAGTAGTCTTGTTACACACACAGATACGATGCTTAAGTGAAGAAGAAGAGTCGAGCACCGGAATACGATGCTATTTAGATGGACATCTCACGGCCTTAAAATGGCGATTAGAAACCTTTTCAAAACCTGCAGATACTCTTCATTTTGCTAGAAAATTTAAAGAAGACATGACTTTCTACCAAACGAATACAGAAGTGAATATTTTACTGGTATTTTTCTCGAAAACCGAAAAGAAACGGATTCGAAAATTAACATTCTGACGTGTTTAAAATATTCCGAAATATTTTCGCCAGATAACCCATATTGCAAACCAACCTGAGAAATCCTTCCTAATCGAAAAAACACCAGAATTTCGGTTAGCATGTTATAAGATTAGTCACCGACTGTATGTGTAGTTTCAGTCACTAGTCAACGTTGACCGCAACATCGACTGTTGGTTACAGTTTTCAATGACACACTGGGTTCCCCTCAGAAAGCTCACACAATGTCACTGAAGAGCCGATCATTTGCAGTATACAATCGTAGAAAAGCAGCGAAACTTGTTTATGACGGTGGAAACAATTATTAGCACCTAGTCCCAATTTAGTTTTCATTAAAAACTCTACCAACATCATTTCAAGTATTCCGCTATGCTCTAACACGTTTGCGTCTCAGCGTGAATTCAACAATAGTTACTGCCACGACGTTCTGAATACAAAGATGCTTGGCAGCTAATTAAACAGTTAAGTAAGCTTACTAGGGGAATATTACATGTTGCCAATACGATGACGCATCTGTGTTATAGAATTTTCGGTGGAGCCAACCGTTAGGTGCACCTGGTTAGCCGCGGCAGGTCTGCTTCATAATATAACACGAACACAACCGCCTCCTGGGGAACACTTGTCAAGCTTTAGTACCCGAAAATCCTTACTAACTCTAAAAAATGCAAAGTTTCAAAACTACGCAGTCAGAAGACGTGGCACTGCGCCTACTAATGTATGAGTACATGAAACTGCTTTACTGTCACACAAAGTCAGCAGAAAAAGCCTGCCTTCCCTCATCCGTACCATGCCGATGTCCTCATGGGGTGGTCTGCTGTCTGCGAAAAGAGGTACAGGGAGATTTACTGTTTTTTACCCGCCTGAATGTTCTGCCTACTACAAAGTTAGCCTCTTCCTAAGGGAAGAAATAATTCAGTGCAGAATAAACTATTTTCGGCAGTGTTGAGGTAAAAAGGGACATAGGGCTAAGCTGACGGTGCCACATGTGTTTTGTGCATTGTTGAGCGTTTTAAACAGGCTACCTGATGATTTATGAAAATATGGTCAAGATAAAGGGGAAATAGTCCAGCTAACCCCTTATCAACTGCTGACCCGATAATGCAATCGTGACAATACAATGTGGGAAGATCATATCCTTTTTTTATAATATAATTTTTTCACATCAGCTGCGTGCCGCTTGTAAGGGCCGAATTACCTCGAGCTGACGAAGATGGAGTCAACTGGCTTTAAGTCGTCTGCCTTAAACTCCGACGAAGGGATCCTTGGTCGGATTTCTGGATTGTTTACATGATTGTGGAGCGGTATATGACTGATGAATATATCACGTCAGACATTGTGCCCAGACCCATTCACAAACTTGGAACAAACTTGCCAAGCCACTGGTGCATGGGCAAGGAGACGGAAAGTGAGCCCCGTACGGGGGAACCCACACCTACGACAACTCAGCACGTTTCTCATAATAGGCAATCTGAAGCGCTTGAATCTATCACGACGCGCCACCAGTCCTGACTTGGACGACTGGTAGCCGACTGAATAATAAAATCCTCCGGTGGGACGGAGGTCGAAATGCAACGGATCATCCTTTATGTGGCCCATACAGCACTCTGGTTCGAGTGACATCCGAGACATTTCTGAATTAAACCTGGAACGTCTGACTTTGGAAATGAGGTAGAGTGTAGCCCGCGTAAACGGGTTGTTCAGCATTGCCAGGCTCTGAAGCCACGCACACCTTCAGTCTCCTTGGCCTCATAGTGATTATGGGTTGTAGGGACGTCAAGTTAGGGGCCCCACCGTGTTGGTCGTGGCAGGTGGCATAATTTGCCTAGTTCGGGTGGTGGACACCTCTCACGTCCCTTAACTGGAGCCCGACTCTCATCTACGGCTCCCCGAAACAACTGCAATACCACGATAATCGCCACCACCGACAAGCTAAATCGGATGAGGATATTCCGTGTTATGTGCACCCCCCTCCCTCACACCCGATGCTTCTGCTCCCATTCTCATCCACATCCCCCTCCCTTCCCTCCTCCCATCGCCCTTCCACTTCAAAAAGTCCTGCGGAGAGCTTGACATGCAATCTAGTAACCGGTCCAGGCTGACTCAGGTAGCTCTCCATTAAGCAACGCTATGGCCCATAGTGGCGTTCGGAAGCCGTCTTGGATGCCTAAGCAGCCCTATTTATGGATAGCACTGTTTATCCTCTCTCATAAAGGGAGCTAGAAAATATGTCTTAAATAAATTGCAAGGAAATCATACTACCTGCTGGTATACCGTGGCTCGTAGATGCCAACACTCGTACCCTTCCTTCCTGACCAACCCACAGGCTGCTAGGGTTGGTTCGCTTATTCTGACAGCCTGGAATGTTCTCATATTTTAGAAAATCCGAGGAGCAACCAGCCGGAGAGGAAGACGATGCTAGTCGCCCGGTAACTAGTGCGCTACACGATGGAGATTTCTGCTCTTAACGAACCCCCCTTCTCTGAACAAGACCAAACAAGAGGAGGTGGGTGCCATCTACATCTTCTGGAGCGGCCGTCTAGATGCAGACCGATGTGACACTGACGTTGCCTTTGCCATCCGGAACGAAATCGTAGGACGAATGTCTTGTCTGCCGCAGAACGTCAACGACCAACTGAAGAACCAGCGCCGCCCTCTTAGGAGAGGAAACTTCGTCACCATCATCAGCGCCTACGTCGCCTCCTGATGACCAACTCCGACTTGGCAAAGAGCAAATTCTATGAGGACCTACACGTCCTCCTGACGACTGTGTCAAGGGAGCACAAGCTGATTGGCCGTGGTGGCTCCAGTGCCCGCGTTGGTACAGACTGCGTTACCTGGGGGGAGGGGGAGTGCTGGCTCCCCATGGTCTCGGCGGCTGCAAAAATAACAACCTACTTCTGCGAACCCGTGCGAAACAAAGCCCCTTGTTGATCGACAACTTCCGCCTCCCGATGCTGATGTGAATGCACCCCCGATCGATCGGTGGCAGCCACTGGACTATGTTCTCGTCCGGAGGCGAGGTCAACAGAATGTGCTGGTGACCAAGGCAATCTGTTACGCCAACGGCTGGACGGACCACCGCATCGCCATCTCCAAAATGAGGCTCGGAATGTAACCTCGCAGGAGATCACAAGGTAAGCGACCACCAGGTAAGTTAAATACTGGTCTGATGAATTTTCATTCTCACAGCTTCGACTTGAGCAATCAGCTTACCCAACGACTGAAAAATCTGCAGACTCCGGACGATAACGCCACCGTGGAGCCTCTGTGGTGTCAACTGCCGAACGTCTTCAAGTCTACTGTCCTGGACGCCTTCGGTCGGTCATGTCGTCAACACCTGGGTTGGCTTGAAGACAAAGATGTAGATATCAACCAAATACTCGCCAAAATGAAAAGGTTGCGCAAAGTCTACATCGATTGCCGGATCGATGCAAGCACAGCCGCTTCCTTCAGATGTCGCCGCCTTGTGCAGCAAAGAGCGTAGGAGATGCAAGACGCTTGGACGAAACGCATGGCCAAGGGAATCCAGGGATACGCGAACCTAAATTAGAAAGAAGAACTTCTTCACATCAGTCTGGACGGTCTACGGCCCCTATACCAAAGAAACCGCGCCGCAGCTCAGCTTCGATTAAACAACATTCCTGACAGAGGAATCGCAAATTCTAAAGCGTCGAACCGAGCATTTCAGAAGCGTCCTCCACCTTCATCCATCATATTCAAGGTCGTCGTCGACCGGTCCCCTCAAGTGGAAACGAATAACGACTTGGATCGTCTGCCTTCACTCCCAGAAACCATCAGAGTCGTGCACCAACTGTCCAGAGGGAAAGCACTAGGATCCGATGTTATCTCGGCTGACGGACAAACTTACAACGAAATTTCAGGAGATGTGACTCTAAGGACAAGTTCCCAAGGATTTGAGGGAAACAACTATCGCCCATCTCTACAAGCGAAAAGGCAAGCGGAAAGTCTGCGCTAATCACAAAGGAATCTTGCTGCTCAACAATATCCGGGGGATCTTCGGTTGCATTCTTCTCAGTCATCTCAACGACCACCTAAAGCACGGACTTCTCCCTGAAACTCAGTGGGATTTCTGACGACGTTGCAGAACCACTGGCATGATCGTCACCGCCCGTCGACTACATGCTAAGCGCCTGGCGATGCGGCCTCACCCCTACATTACCCTCTTGGACCTGAAAAATGATTTCGACATACCGCATCACGATGGACTGTGGAAAATCATGCAGAATCCCGACCTTTCGGAGGGATTTATGCATACGGTGCGTTAACGTCACGACAAGATGATTCAAAAAATTGTAAGGGTGAGACAGGGTTGCAGCCGTTTCAATTGCAAGATTGGACATAGAGGTGAAAGCCAGCTTCTTCTCGAAAATTGTAGTAGAAGTAAGCTAACCGAAATATTGTTAACTCCATCCTGCTCTAGGTGATTCCACGCGCATTATTTCAAAAAATTTTCCGTACCACGTCAATCAGTGTGCTATTAAGGGGGCATATTATCAAAAATCTTTCGACCAGTCGAGTTGTCTGTCCAGCTTGAATTTTGATGGTCTGCGAGGCGGACGCAAAACACTCTCTGAGAGGGTCTCTGCCGGGGATGGATCACGCTGCAGGTGATTTTGGTTGACTTTCGTAAACAAGTACCTTAAGATCATCTGTGCCTACTTGGACTTTGACCACTAGGACTTGGTTTTGCGTTTTGTGGTAACCAAAAGCGATGCCCAACCCTGCAGCAAGGCCCACCTTTGTCCAGGACGCGTCTCAATAGGTTAAGTACTTCATCTCTCTCTCATCCCATAACGAGAAAGTAAACCTCAAGCCATGACTTTCTGAGGGTAGCAGTTGCAAAAATCCCTTGAGTAGGAGACAGACTTGTGTTCTGATGCACCAAGACGCCTGTAACGATGAGCCCTGTTCCTCTTTGGGTTGGTTTTACATAACCCTGTTGGCGTGAGTGTAGCGTTGGCTGAAAGTCATAGTCAGATTGATGGGCTTCCTGTTTGTTGTTCTTTGATGTTGGTGATCAGATGCTGGTGCCCTGTATTGTGCAGAGACCTGGGCAGTCTACGAGAGACAAGCTAGGAAACTCAACCACCTTAACTTCGTCTGCTTCCGGGCGAAAAGACAGGATTCTGGGCATGCAATTTCATGAAATAACCAGAAGTCTCAGCGTCCACGCCATGCTGAGGAAGATTCAACTGCGCTGGAGAGGCAACATCTCCGGGAAAGTTTACGAGCTCCCACCCAGCGATGTCACAAAGGGTACTCATTGACAAGGCGGCCAAAAACAACGCTACAAAGACACCTCCATCGTCATCCCTGCACGAATTCTCACGGCGTTCACGTCGACGATCACGCCCACCATCTGTGATTACACTCATGATGCCCGGCCCTCGTCGATCACCGTCACCTACTCGATGACGACCATGATACCCACCTCTCTTACTCTTGCCGTCTATGAGAACACCACTCGGCGCCATGCAGCAACTACCTTCAGCATCTCCGCTTCCATCACCACAAATGTGGACTCGGTCCCCACATGTCCCCATTGCGACTACACATTCGCCTCCCGCATCGGCATAGTCGATCACTTGCGAATTTATTATACCCTGACCGGCGCAACAATGTAAAGAGTTCCAACATAAACCTCTCAAGTATGCCTCACTGTCGACACTGCCCACGCACATTCACTCACCGAAAGGGCCTATGCGGCCACATGCGTATACACGATAGCGGAATTCGTCGAAATATTAGCACGTCAAGCTCATCTTGCACATCCGAAAAATCTTACATCTTCAGCATCACCAAGTCCCATCCACCAACGCGGCCACCATTAGCAGAGTCACCATTTCAACCTATCCTACAGCTCCCAACCTATGCCGCACACAGTGTCACGCACACGCACGTCCCGCATCGGCCTGGTCGGTCACATGCCGACCCAGCGCACGGAGAACAGCCCACCAGTGCCCGGAACATCAACAAAAACCCGTTGCCATCGCCGCAACTGCCATCTTGTTCGCGCACATACAACCATCTCGTGGGACTACTCGCTACATGGCCTTCCGCCGCGGACTGAACTACCTCATCACACATCTCTCCATCAACCTATGCGCCACAGATGGACACGTCCAACATCATACACCGCAGGAATGGACTAGACCCCCTCACTTAAGTGGGAAGCGTCTTCTTCGGCCCCCACTCCATGTGCCCACTCTGTTACATGTGAGATCCTAGCAGTTCACCTGTCCGCGTGAAACCCCGTTTTGGCAAGTAGTGTGGGGCACGCGTAAATGGGCCCTATTCAGCTCTGTCAGCCGCATCTCCCAATCTCAGCATTAGTTGTCCGATCGACTATGACGGTCGACTGGTTCACAGGAAAGCGCAGAGGGAATGAGGCCTACTCTCATCACATACTCCTCGCTATAAACGATCTGACACGCTTGAATCTATCATGGTGCTCTAAAAGCCGTGGTTTGGAAGGTTGTCAAATGACAGGATAACCCGGAACTCGCAGTCAGCCCAATGTGTATTTGTGGGTTGAGTGATCTATTAGTAGAATGAGAGTTAGGTTGCAATTACTCCTTATTGTGGGTTCTCTGGCACTCCCACTCAGTTGGATCCGATCCACTGTGGTGACACGCTAAGGTGCGGGCTCCTGCAGCGCTAGCCACCTACGCCCTCTCCCACCTCCGGTGTTATTGACCCTGTTAGGACACTGGGTCTAGGTGAGAGAGGAGGAGAGGGTGCGGTAAATGCTGCGTAAGTCTACTGTCAGTATAAACTAATTCACGTGCGTCACCATCCCTGTGAGCACATTCCTGCGGGGTACACGGTGAACCTCGTCGGAATCGAAGCTCAAGCTGTCATACCATGACCACGGTGAATGTAATACAGATGCGGCGCAGGTCTGCTTCACTGTAAACGGTTTCGCGCTCAACGCGGCTTCGCTGGCATAAAAGAACGAACGTTTACGCAGGACGTCGGCTGCCCAGTTCGTAGTTGCATCTGTCATATTCCCTGCAATTTTGGCCATGTTTTGTGGTACCTGGTAACGTCCTCTGAGTCTCCACACAAATGGGTCCTCATAGCCTTTGTTACAGTTGAGAGATAATGGTAGGAGGCGCTGACCGATCGTTCTTACGGAACTCACTGGTTCTGTTGTGCCTTACGGGCTCTCGCTCTCGAGTCCAACCAGCAGCCGCACAGCGGCACATGATGTAGGCAGAATGGTGTTACCGACAAAGACAAGGGAGACTAGAATAGCCATTTGTGGCTTATTAACCGTCGTCAGCTAGTCGTACCCAACCGCGAAGTGTGGGACACCCAAGGCTCGGACTCGCGATCTGTTACTTAGGCGTCCAACGCCTCTAACCAGTGGGCCACGGGCCCGTTGTCCTGTCGGTAGCCATTCCAGTCTCCCTTGTCTTTGTCGGTAACACCAGTTGAGGGATAGCCGAACAGAGTTAAGTAGTTTTAGTCGTTCTAGGAATAGCGTGCGGAGAAACATTGTTTACTGTCCTGATTTCTGTGCGCGTACCAGTTTTCCCGCTGGGTCCCCCAAGATGGTCGGCACTGTTGCGTCAGACTTCAATCAAATGGTCAAATATAGTGTTCTTGGAGGACTATCCAAGTGAATTCCGGTTCATGTCTGTTGAGAAGCCACTACGCGTGTGACAAAGTAAGAAGGGGGGGGGGGCGGGGAAACGTCTGGCCAGCCGCTGCGCCTACGCCCGTCTTCCGTCGTCCTGGCCTAGCCATGTCATTGGAACACAATTGCGTTTGTTGAGACAGAGTGAGGTCGCTGCTGAGAGAGCACACCCACTACAACCCAAAAAACGCCCGACTTACCTTTATTTCTACGATCTGACGGCTGGTTTTTGAAGTTGGGTCGCCATTTTTCCCCTCCATTCAGCCGCGGCCTGTTTCTTGAGCACACGTTTGACTGTTTTTTTCCTATGCGTGCCTGATTTTGTCTCTTTGTCCATCGGTGGTAATATAGAACGCCATCTGCTGGCTACCTCTTCATATAATGCTGAGGAAAATAGAAACACACTGCAATTGTTCGATGGAAATTTTTCTTTGTTTCTTGCACACGGAGTGTTTGACTGCAAATTTCGAGTTCAGCCTACAAACTATTTAGGTCAGTGGTCAGGTGAAGATAATGAGTTTGCCAGTTGAACCGGACGGATTCAGTAAGTCCAGGTACCCTCAGCTCAGGAAACCTATAGCCAAGTCGATCTCACGATATCTCAATCAGTTCAGCATGGCTCTGTGTATGGAATAAGATATGATAATTTATTTTGCAAATTGTACTTATCAAGTCCTGGTTAACACTACGGAAACGAATACTTTCAGGCAAATTCCAGTTCTCCCTACGTCTCTATTTTGCGCACAAGAGAATCTTCTAGACCGTAAGGGAGACGCTGCGGGAGACTGTGAGCTTCTTGCTCCCAACGCAAATCACGGTTACGGCGCGAGATGCTCGGGTCTCTACCTTCCAGCACCGACCTTACAGTCACCATAGCGACTGGTATGTGCGCCGAGCTTCCTCTATGGGCGCGTGAACAGAATGGTCTTTATGTGTGTGTTACACCTGCTCAAAAGGACCATCCACCGCAGGCAGAGAACGAAGTGTTTTATTGCAGGCAGGGTGTGAGAGCCAGTGGTGAGTGAGGGCCGAAATTTATGCCAGTAGCCGTAGTCAACCTTCACACCCCCATCTCCTCCCCACCGGCCTCCCAGTAGGCTACCCCGGTGGTCATGGCACTTACTCGCGCAGGGGTGCCGCCGGCCGCCCACGTAATCATTATTATCCTCTTTCAGGGTGAATCGCATCGGCAGGGCGTCCCCCTTGGCACTTGCGGGTAGGCACATTTTGAGCACCGTTTGGGCCACCTACTCGGCCGTCCTGGACAAATAAAGACACGCACATGCTCATCGGCCCCGCCCTCGAACGATGTGGGTCGACAGCGTGAGAGGTCTAAACAACTCTCATTGCTCTTTGTGCGTTGAAAATGGCCAGCTTCTGGCAGGTGAGAACAATCGTTCCCTACAACCAGGTCGGGGGAGGGGACGTGAGGAGGAGTGGTCAGAGAGATACTATTAAGTCTCACGTGCAATCCTTAAAACTCGGACAGTAAGGGGTTGTTGCTGCTGCTGCTGCCGCTGGTCTTGGCTTCTGCAACTTCCTTGGTGGACAGATTTACCCGAATGTCCAAATAGGTAAGTGACTTTGCCATAAAAGGATCTGCGGTTGAGAAAAATACGCCGACCCGGAGCTTTCTATAGCGTAGCCACCTGTACAGGAAGAAAGTTGTAATGGCGTAGCGAAAAGTGTCAAAATTAAGACATCAAGAAAACAGTAAAAATTCCTAACAATGGACCATTTGCTGTGGTAGACCCTTGGAAATAGGGCACTTTCACATAGATAGGAAACACTTAATACGAGAGGCAGTAATGAACCATCAAAAGCCGACCACTCGTCGTGTTCTCAACGGCAGAGTTATAGCAGCCTTGTGGATGAATCGATAGTTACTTCTTCCTTCCGAATCGTAGGTCTGACCTACGTGTGAGCTGAGCGATCAAAGACACCAAAAATATATACAAGAGCCTTAGGAATTGGAGCTTGGTGTCATTAACCTCATTTAGGGAAAGTTTTCTTGCATAAGGCGTAGTGGACGAGTGATACATGAAGTCTCTGCCTGCACGAAGTTTCAAGACTTATCCCAGGGACTCACAGGCTGTACGTCAACCGCAAAGTCTTATAAAGTGGGGCCTTCCTTTCGATTTGTTACTAGGTTGTTGAATACGGCTAGGCGGGGTACCACTCATCTCACGACTGTGGGTTATTCATGTAAAAGTAAAAGACGATGCTTTGGCCCCTTTACTTCGGGGTATGACTCATTAGGGTGGCATACTACATGAAATTTTCGGCGAAATTCCGGGATCCATTTTCTATTAAAAATGATTAATTAGGTAGGGTTGCAATGTTAGTTGTAGTGCAATATAAGGCCAAGATATTTCAATCACGTTAGGACGTCGACTTTTGAAGTCAAGTTTTTCGGCCGTCAGCAATAATTACACTCAGAAAAAAGTCCTTATATACGAAGTATGGATTTTTCACATTGATATACGATGACCTCATAAACTCGACTATGGAAGGAATGCAGCAGGTATATTTTCTTGCACTCATTTCGTAGCAAACCACGTCTTCTCCAAGTGTTATGCTTACACAAAACGTATCGTTAGGTTTGGAAAACCTTAGCAATACCCGTATAATTTTTAACTCAGTCTGCAGTTGCACATGCCTGTCAGATTTCTGAACTACATGTTGTATGCTTTTGGTGTGAAAAAATTGTTTATTCCTCTACACCGCTAAAAAGACACAATATAGGACTCGTGAAATTTTGCAATGAATGTGGACCATGTTGTATACTTAACAAACAGTATTAGTAAGCAGATAAATATGATATTTACTGGGTGGAAATTTCACGGTCTTATAAAGTCTCGTAAATTATGCCTTTCTAAAAGCCGGACAAGGCCCTTTCCTCGATGATAAAACTTTGAGAAGACATGCTTTACTCGAAATGAATGTAAGAAGAGATACTTTGGGTGTGTTTTTTTCAGTGCCTGATAGATCTCATGAAATGTTAGCCAAAATTCTGGAATTCGCTTCCGATTAGGAAGGATTACTTAAGTAGGGTTGTTATAGTGATTATAGTGCAGTGCAACCCTATAACATTTCGGACTCGCCAGGATGTCGCCATTTGAATACACTTCTTTTTGACCTCCTGCAGAAACCACACCCGGTGAAAAATGACTATTTAAGTGCATGTTTCTAATTATGAGATTTTTAAGACCGTGCGATGTCCATGCATGCAAGACCGCACACCTCCGTTTACTAACGCTCCCATGAAATGTACAACACTGTCCGGATTCATTGTAAAAATTTCATGAACTCTATGTGGTATCTTCTTAAAAGCATAGAAGGATATATGATTTTCCTTACGCGCAAAGCATGCACCTTGTGGACTGTAATTGCTAAAGGCTGATGCAATGGCAGATCAGGCTGAAAATTATTCGGGAATCGGGAAACTTTTTAAAATCTAAATATACAATTTCTTCGGGCATGAAATATGAAAATAATGTGATTGCCTACCAAATGAGCAAAAGAAAGCATATTTTTGTGCCTATTTTCTGTAAAATATATTTGAATTTATAAGACCATCGAAAATCAATAGAAAAAATGCATACTGCTTAAGTATTCATTTTTCACCGAGTGTGGTTTTTGCAGGGGGTCAAAAAGAAGTGCATTAAAAAGGCGACATCCTGGCGAATCCGAAATGTTATAGTCTTTCGCTGAACTAGAATCATTATAACAACCCTACTTAAATAATCCTTCCTAATCGGAAACGAATTCCAGAATTTTGGTCATGCACTGTATAAAATATATCTGAATTTATAAGACCACCAAAAATTCATGTGAAAGACTCATCCTTCATAATTAATAGTTTTTTTATTGAAGTGCTGTTTTTGAACATAGCCGGAAAGAAGTGCGCTCAAAAGTCGACATCCTACAGTGAACTGCATTATACGGCTCGATCACTGATATTACAACCCCACCCAAGTAACCCTTTCTAATAGAAAATACATTCCAGAATTTCGGTTGAAATTCCATGAGATAGGCCGGTTAAGGTACATATTTGCCGGCCACGTGCATGCATTCTTTTCGGATGCGGATATAATGGCAGAGCGGTCTCATCGATCGCGTTGCGAGGCATACTGATACGGTTGTGCCCTGAGACTCGATCAAGATTCCCGACGGCAGTCGCATATCGCCACTTACTAGACGATGAGTAAATAAAGACATATTAAGGGACCACTAACTCTCAGTTGGCGATCGACGAGCATTTGCGATATTATTCTGCTAGTCGCGTGCTCTCTCATGTGCTGTTGTAAAAACTTTCTTGGTGACTAACCTGTCCCATAAGCCTCTCGTTTTTGTACTTACTCACTTCGTTCTCACCTTTTTAAAGATTTTTTTATCCTAGCAAAGTTGTCTTCTCAGCGTTTCGAAAACTTGCTTACCTCGGCGTTGAACCATGTATAGTAATTCAATTAAATATGTAGGCCGCCGACAGACTGCCGGCAACCATCGTGCATGCGCACATGCATGGCTGTCGTCGTAGTATGCGGATTCTGACTGCAGCAGACGTAAGCATAGCAAACGCTATCTCTCTGTTGCACGGCGACCGGTTACCACAGCAACTTCCGAAGACCAGGCTAACTATAATTTCTTTTCTTGCTTTTAATGAGAGTTCGAACCTGGCGAACGATGATGTCGACTGTGTGTCCCACAACATGGTGGGCTCGACGACGGTGATCTGAGCGTGAATTAATTTTTGGTGATAGCGGACTTGCACAGTATCTACTGCACTGTCTCCTACCTCACCCTGCTGGGCCCGGTGACAAGACCACGCCGCGACGACCGGAAGTGGGATCGAGTGCAGTGGCTGACAGAGCTAAACAGTCCGCCTATGCGTGACACACATGTATGGTCTGCGCACGGTGGATCAGACTTTATCCCAGACAAGAAAGGGACGCAGACCAGATCCCCACTTAGTAGGAGTGCCGTAAAGGCCGCATTAAGAAGGAGCCATTTCAGAAATACTCTCTGCCCTGAGAAGTAAATCGAGATTTCCCGTTATTTGGTAGCCATCCAAGTCAATACTATTAGCACATCTTGATAGTTTAAAAAAGGAGCCAAACTGTTTACAGTGATCGAGCATGCTGGGTCTACCTTCTTTTCCCTTCCCTATCCCGCGCTACGATCCGATCAGCTGTCTAATGTAGATACTGGACACAAGTTTCTGACAGAACTCGATAACCGTCTACACGTACCGCATACGGCCTGGTCGCTCGCATCCACAAAGGGTCTTCACATAAAAGAGTGGGCTGCTCAGATCTCACATGTGTGAACGTGTCATAGAGGCCACATGAGAGGGAGCCATTGTAGTCTGACTCTCAGTCTACCCAGTCAGCCACTCTACACTAACACATACTGGGTCGACTGCGAGGTCTAGGTTGTGCCATTAGTTGGCAACACTAAAAGTCGGGATCTTTAGTTCATTGTGATAGGTCCAAGCGAGTCAGGTGTTTTATAGGGATCAGTGACCTTAGGCATCATGAGGATGAAGTCCTCGGAGTCGGCCTCGCTTTCTCCCCACTCTCCTGTGCATCAGTCGACTACCTGTCAACTAGATGGAGATGGATTGGGCGCAGTAACTAAATGAACTAAGGGATTCCGTCTACGTACGTCACACACGACCTGGCCAGGCATTAGGTTGGGTCAAAAACATACTCCTCGCTTATATGAGGCCGATGTACGCTGGTGTACCTGGTACTCGTTCGCCGGTCACAATCTGGGGGATTCATTTTCATTCATGGAGGCATCACATGTGTAGCCGCTTTCTCTCATCTGACAGAAATCAGCTGACCGAAATAGTGACCAAGCATAAAAGATAGAACTCTCCTTGGTGGTTACCATCCCTTGGACTGCGAAATGAGTCGTTCCAAAAGAAGGTTGGGATTTCTATCCGAACCAACTATGCCAGTCAAAGCAGTCACTCGGAGTGCAAGAACCGAGCTACAAGAGTCCGGACAGTTGCGCATACACAGTATGGCGCCTTCCGCCTGGTAAAAAGAATGAACACGAACAACTAGCGAAGATGGTGGTGGTGGTGGTTGTGGTG